AAATTTAAATTATGAATAATGTATCAATGTATCAAAACCTGAAAACTGGTTTTTATTATTTTTGTTTAGAACAGATAGAGATTATGGCTAGCAGAGTGAAATTCAGAATTTGATATCATTTTTTTATATGAGACTTGGATCCCTAGTGCCAATGTTCATATTTGGAATTGAATTTAATTCGTTTTCATTCCATCTCCATTGTGATATTTTCTAAGCTATAGTGCTGCGTTGTGGAATGCCTGAGGTGATGGTGTTTCGTTCTCTCTGAGTTGGGGATGTTTTGGTTATGGAGCTTTCATCCGTGTTCTTCTACTGAACAACATGATCAGCACAAATTTCAGATTGCTGCTAAATTGCTTCACGAGGATTGTAGTTGTTTGTCTCAATTTTTTTCTGTTCAATTTCTCAAACTACTTATTATTAAGATATATATATATATATTTATTAAAAAGTATGAAAACAATAAAATTATCTGATGTTATTATTCAATAAAATGTGGAAAAAAAACACGATACAAAGAAAAATAATTTGTTCTTATTTGTTTGCCGCATGTAATAGCATGTTTAAGATGAAATAAGCATGTGAAATAAATGAATGCTCGTTTAGTAAAATTGCGTAATCTATCTAATCTATTGATTGCATCTTCAATTTTCTTATTAGTAGTTATAGTTTATTTTGATTGATAGTCTAACGGATCGCAACCGGGTAGTCTACACCAAGCTAAAATGGCTCAATCCAGTTGTCAGTGACTTCATTCATGGACTTGTGACAAGTTTTTGGTTTGGTTGCCCCTAGCTTTCTTACAGCCTACTACATCAGACTGTGTCGCTCGTTGAGGCAGTCGGTTGTTGGGAATACTTAACACATGTCCCAACCACCTCAACTGATGAAGATTCACTGCTTCATCAATTGATTTGACATTCTTACCTAGTACTCGTTTTTTAACAACTGCACTACTTACTCGGTTGTCCCAGGATATACGAGCTATGCTTCGGCGACATCTATGATCGGAAACCAGCAACCTACGAATATCTTCTACTCTGATTGGCCATGTTTCAGTGCCATATAGTGGAACGGAGCGAACTACGCACAGTACACTCGTCCTTTGGTTAGCAAATAGATATCTCACGTACGTCATAAGTGCCGAAGGTTAGCAAAAGTCTGTCTAACCTTCTGTATCCATGCTGAGCTTTTGTCAGACACCTGGCCATAAGCACTGAGGAGACTCCCCAGATAAGTAAAGTGGTCAACAGGCTCAATTACTTCACTTCCAACCACTAGTCCAGGTGTCGATACAATCCAATCCTGAAGAAACAGTTTGCATTTCGAGGGTGAGAACCGCATCCCTAACATGCTTGCATTTTTGTTTAGGACGGTTAGAGGACTTTACATTTTGTTAGCGTCTTCACGATGTAGAACTATATCGGCATATTATAAGTCAACAAACGAATCTCTTAGTAAAAGTTTAACTGCTGAAAGGTCAGATGATTAGTGTCGTATCTAGAGGCATGTCAGTGATAAAGTTTAACAAGAATCGAGAAAGTGAACATCGCTGATGGTCTCTACTTGAAGTAATCAATTCCGATGACAGTTCGCCATAACCTCTCACTCGACCTGTAGTGTTCAAGTAGAGGGCTTGTATAAGGTTAATGTACTTCTTTGGTACACCTTTTAATCAAATAAAGTGCTACAGAACGTCTTGATTAACAGAGTCAGACGTTGCCTTTAGGTCAAGCGATACATCTACTGTCGGTAGCCAAATAAACATATCGCTGAGGGCTATCTTGAATTCGTTGAGTTTACCAGTATCCCGAAGAAAGGCCGTATTAAACTTTTGTGACGTTTGCCGCCCAGTTGTCCAGTGCTTCTTGAGTTTCAGTTTCATTTTGGTGACCAGCGAGTGATCTGAGGCTATATTAGCTCCCCTCTTGCTTCTCACTTCCTCCATCGTCCTTCTGAACGTTTTGTTGGTACAGATATGGTCGGTCTGGTTCTGTGTGGTGTGATCTGGTCATATCCATGTAGCCTTGTGTATACGTTTATGTGGGAATATTGTAACGCCGATGACCGGTTTGTTAAAGGCATGTAGGCTTGCAAATCTCTCATCGTTTTTGTTCCTTTCTCCCAGTTCATGTCGTTCCATGATATCTTCGTGTCCAGTGTCGTCCATGTTAACCTTGGCATTTAAGTCTCTCTTCAGAATTGTCAAATCCTTTGACGAGCGTCTGTCGACCATTGACTGCAGCCTCTCGCGGGATCGATCTTTAACTTCATCATTGTGGTCGTTGGTAGGTGCATTGTATGACGTTCATTGTAATGTCCTCTTTCTTTGTTTTGAAGGATGCTTTGATGATCTTGTGTCCATGAGATTCTCATCCTACCAGTGCCATTTGTGCTTGTTTGGACAGCATCAGTGCAAAACCTTGTGCGTGTGAGGAATTTTCTTCTTCACGGCCAGAGTATGACAGCAGTTCCCCTGAAGCTAGTCTCAGTTGTCCTACCTGTGTCCAATGCGTTTCGCTGATTCCAAGCACCTCGAGGTTGTATCTTTTCATTTCTGCAACAACTTGAAATAGTCTTCTAGTCTCCCGCAATGTTCGAACGTTGCTCTGGTTGTCAGAAAAGGCATCGGCCTCGTGACTTCCGAGGGAACTCGGCTTTCATCATGAGACGTTATAGCATTTCTAAATGAATACCTTCTAACTCCCAGGTCAGAGTTTAAATGGCTTGAATTAATTTTTTTATCAAGTCATGCAACACCGCAGAATGGTTGAAGCTGGACAGTAATACTGTTGGATGCTGCCTCAGTGGTTAGGCGCTTGCACATGGGACTGAAAGTCCTCGGTTCAATTCCGAGGCGTGGCGATCGTGGATGTGCACTGTTGACGAGTCTCATACTACGAAACGGCCGTCCAGTATTCGCAAGTTTCCAATGGTAATCGATCATTGATCGATTCATGATTCCAATAGATGAGAATTTAATTCAACAACATTGACAAGTTTCGTTTTCATCCAGTTTATTAATTCGTTACGTAATGAACACGGTTGAAAGGATGAATTTTAGTTTTAAGCATATTGGGGATATAGTTACCACTGGGGTTTCATATGCCAGGCTGTCATTAAAGCTGTAATTGGCCACATTACTGAGGGATTATTTAAGAAACAATAGGCTAGTTTTAAAGATCTTTATTTTATCCTGATAAAAATGACTTAGAAAATTGGCTTTGTCAGCGATTCAAATAGGCGCAAACTTTAGCAGTCTAAGTTTTCTTACTTGTTATCGCCATTTGTATAGGCAAAAAATAGCACTAAGTAGAATGATTATTATCATTTCGTAGGTTACCTTCAACTATCATTCACAGTTTACAGATAAATAAAACATGCCATACCACTTAGTTCCCAATTTATTTGCAGTTTCATACGAGTAAATTAATTGTGAACTGCCCAGAAAGATTTCCTTTCATAATAAAAATGAAATGACACAGAGACATGAATGCATAGCTTTCTCTTGACCCTTTAGACATAAATTAACTTGATGAAAATAGAAAAATTCACTTTCGCCAAATGGCTATGACTTGTGATGTAGTATTATTTAGTTATCCAAAATGTCATCTTGCAGTTTCAACTAATCAAAAACAGTCATTAGGTGATGATGATATTTGCCTCATTCATATTAGGACATCTTTTTAGTCAAACAAAATTGTTGTTTTTGAAACCATGAATCGACCAATGTTAGACCACCATTAGAAACCTGTAAGCACTGGACGGCCGTTTCGTCCTGGTATGGGACTCTTCAGCAGTGCGCATCCACGACTCCTGCATCCCGCAGGATTCGAACCCATGAAGACGTGACCAGTGAAGTTCAACCTGTTCGGGTGTAGGCAATATCTACTGAAGACTGTGTATGAGGTTGCGCAACTCCGTGAATTTGATCAAGTTAGACATGAACACCGTTACATACCGGCTCAGTGATCTAACGGTTAGGGCGTTCGCGCACAATACCGAAGGTCCTGGGTTCGAATCCTGCGGGGTGCAGGAGTTATGGATGCGCGCTACTGAAGAGTCCCATACCAGGACGAAACGGCCGTGTTCCAGTGCTTCCAGGTTTCTAATGGTGATGGTCTAACATTGATCGATTCATGGCTTCAAAAAATGTGTAACTTAATAATCTTCACAACCCCGTAATGCAAAATTGATATGTTTGAAATCTGAACTTCAATCGATTCATTTGGTAAATAAAAGTGAGTGTGTTGATGTTTTATTTTTCAAAAGTCACTTGACAGTAAGTTTCAAACTTTTAGCCCGATTATTAGGGCTAATCGATAATAACCTTGTACAAATTTCCCATTCTCATGATTCAAAAATACCGTGTCACATTATTCCATGGAATCAGATATACATATATGTTTGCAAAAGTACTTTTGCTGATTTTAACATCAATATTTACAATCCCTAATGTACACATTGAACATTTCACCTTTTCACATTCACCATGTGACAACATCGATCGATTTCAAAGGCATTCTCTCCGATAATCTTGTATATTTTTACGCACGTCAAAATCTGAACAGCTGTTCTATGGATTTCTTTCTTCACACATTTTTTTTTAATTGTGTGCATCTATTTATTATGTACAAATAAATGCATGTGTAATTTTTAATGCACAATTATCCTTGATTGTTGATGAAGGATAAAAAAACACAGTTTATTGATTTTTAAAAATAAAATGTATTCTATATGCCTGCCTGCATGTAAAATTATTCCTGTCATATAACCATTATTAAATATTTTTTTTTTAAACAAAAACGCATACACTGAGTCACATGTATAGAATATTTATCAAATATTCATTAGAAAGTAGATTTGAAATAAGGCGGTACGGAAAGAAATGGCGGCGGGAAAAAGTACTTTAAATAATAATTGAATATCAATTGATTTACTCGCAATCCTATTCTCTTCATATGTAATTATTGTGTAGCTAATCGAATGTGACATTGAAAATGTACTTTCAGTTCAGTGGTCAGGTAAAGATTAGATTCTCATGCACGACGAGAACAACAATTTCTAAGTTCCACTGATCCTAAGTGTTCAGTTGTCGATGCACATAGTAGGACAAATCAACTAACTAACACTTCATGATTTTTATTGATTGGCTAATTAGCATTCACAAACCTATAAACTGATGATCAGCTTTTTTTTTTCTGAGAAAATATAATCCATACTGGAACAGTAAATATGTAAAAGCCTCCTAGTATACTCATTATTATACATAGACTGTAATGAATCATTGTTAGACCACCAGTGGACGCGTGACTAGTGGAGTTCAACCCTGTCATATGTAGGCAGTAACTACTACCAAAGACAATGAATGGATGAGGTTGCACAAAGTCCTTAGATTGATAAGAGTTAGAGATCAACACCGTTGGATCTGGCTCAATAGTTTAGAGGTTGAGCATTTGCGCGCAAGACCAAAGATCCTGGTTTTGGATCCTGAGAGTAGCCGGAGTCGCGGATGTGTACTGTCAATGAGTTTCATACCAAACGATCGTCCAATATCAGAATGCAGCACACTACTACGAACAAACATTTATCCTGTTGTAAAATTCATAGTCTATCTGAACTCCATAGTTTAGTGAGTAACATGTTGACGTTCAAATCTGTACAAACATCTGCTCTGGGATTCTCGATACACCCATTTGATAGGTTCCAAATAGAATGGAGCAATCATCATGGATTCCACCACCGCTTACTACAATTTTAATATTATTAAAACTAGTGATAAAAAATATAATTAATGTCTAAGGATCGACATGAAATTTTCAATAGCGACAACAAGTGATCAAAATTCAATTCTGAATATCAAAAAATGGGATTACATAAAACCTTAAACATTGAAAAAATTAACATTTTTCTATTAGGCAAACTCTACTCACTTATCTGAAGTAATCAGCCAGTTCAAATGGTTAGAGTCAACTGGATAATGAAGAGGTGGACATTTCAAGGGGAGTACAGAATTAAGTGGACGGCTCGGATGCAGCTGGATGAGCTGAACTTTGCAGATGATCTAGATCTCCTATACCATACTCAGCAATAAATGCAGGAGACCATCATTGTGGCGGTAGTAGGTCTCAACATGTACAAGGGAAAGGAAAACATCCTTCGATACAGTATAACATGATGTACCGATCAAAACACATTCGATGGAGAAGCTTTCGAAGATGTGGAAATTTTTACAAACCTGAACAGTATTATTGATAAACAAGGTGGATCTGATGCAAATTTGACGGCATGGATCGGTAGACATCAAGGCCAGCATTTCGACAACTGAAAGAAATTCGGGCCTTAAAACAACTATCAACCAACACCAAAGACACAACTTTCAATATAATTGTCAAAGCAGTTCTATTGTATGGAGAAGAAACTTGGAAAACTATAAATCCATCATCCACAAGATAGAAGTATTCATTAACAGTTATCTACGCAAAATATTTCAGATCCCTTGGCTAGACACTATCAACAACACTTTACTGTGAGAGAGAACAAACCAGATTCCAATGAAGGAGGAAATCAGGAAGAAGTTGTGGAAGTGGATAGGACTCACACTGAGGCAAGCCCTGATGGAATTCTTAAGGTCAACACAAAAAGCGGAAGACAGAGAAACACATTACGCCAAGTATTGATTGAAAGCAGATATGGAAAGAATGAACAGCAGTTGGGTAGAACTGGAAAAGAACACAGAGGACAGTATAGGTTGGAGAATGCTGGTTGGCAGCCTATGCTGAATGAAAGGTAACAGGCGTGAGTGAGTAATTAGTTCAGCTAGAGTTATCTAGTGATCAACGAAGTCATTTATAAATTATAATATCTTCATATCTAATTCTTCAAGCGTATTGACTATTTTCCTAAATTAATTCACACTGGACTTGTGGTGTGTGCTACTTATACGAACAATATAAGTAGTATAAGAAGGGACGTAAAAGAAGAACATTCACGGTCACTAGAGGAAAACGGAAAGCAAATGGAGCAAAAGCAAGAAGTAAATGGAGTACCGACAGGAAGTAGAGGAAGCAACAGCAGGAATGGAAGAAGGCTGGAGCGTTGGAAGTCAGGACTCAAAGATGGTGTGCAGATAGAGTGTTCAATGTAATGTTGTCGTTTTTAATTGACTATGAGTGTAAATTTGCCTAATGCAATCTATGGACCCTGCAACAGTCTTCTCAGACTGACTATCAGATTCAATGATGAAGCCTTTTTTTAAACTTTAATTGTTGAAAGTTCCTATGATTTTGATTGTGCTTTGTTTTGCTTTTTGTCCCAGAGTTCAAGACGTTCAAGTGAAAGTACTAGTTCAGTTGATAGTGAAGTAATTTTAGAAGCTGAACGTTTAGAATTAGAACGTTACGCTTTAAAAGAACTTGAATTAGCAGTTGTAAGTGGGAAAAAAAACACATTTTTTTAAATTTCATCTTTTTTATTATATTGTTGTTATTTTCTTCAATTGAACGGTCATCATCAACAGCAACGTAGAACTTCGCATGTAAGTACAACAGTTCAAGTTCCCACTGCCTATCATGATGACCCAGCCGAGTTATACTGGCTTGAACATATGTTCCTGAAGTTTCTACCATGCCAGGCAGGTTGATTGGAGAACGATGAGATTAAAAGCAGCTACCCAAGGTCTGAGGGCTGACTGCAGAGGGGTGTGACAGCAGTGAGGTGTTTCCCTCGGACAACCAGCATCTACAACGATGCTACCTTCTCACAAGGAAGGAAAGGTTAGGAAAGGTCGACCCCAAAAATGTCACACCTCACCCTATCTCACGGATTTCCGTCTTCGGCGGTAAGGCCTTTTAAACAAGAACGGAGTTAACTAACACCTTAAAAACTTCTCATAAAAAGGCCTCGTGCAGTTGTCCGTTTGGCTCTGTGGTCATGCTCCCAGGTCTCTAAGACCAACGCTACTCTACCTTGCTTTTCAGGTTCCTCATGAAACACACTTCCATGGTGTGGGCACACGGGAAGTGACATCCGCTCTCATACTCATAACATAACATGAGAATGAATCGACTAGTCTCATACTGACTAATCTCACACTGATTAGTTTTTATGATTGATTAGAAATGACTTGATCAAGAAACTATGTCAGCTGAGCTAAATAATGCTGAAATTCTAAAAATATAAAATATATTTTACCGAATTCTAATATTCACTATTGTCTTGTAGAGATTATTGAGTTTCATTGAAATCACGAATCGATCAATGTTAGATCACCACTAGAAACTTTAAATCTCTGGCCGGTCGTTTCTTCCTCATCGACAGTGCATATCCATGACCACCCCTTGCGGGAGTCGAACCCAGGGCCTTTGTTCATGCTCACCATCACTTAACCTCTAATGAACATGACTTCTTGAAGATGAAATATATGTTTTCTATCTAAATACTTCTCTGAGATAAATATTACTTGAAACTAATCTAAAATATTAATTTGATTTTCATAAGTCAGATAGAATACAAAAACTTAGTTCCAGGATTAATACCTGTTGCAACGTAGAACTTCGTACGTAAGTACATCAGTTCATGTCGCCATACCACATCAGCACAGAGATATAATTGTCAATTCAAATCTCATAGTAGAAGAGGTAGTAAAGGCATTAGAAGTAATCGAAGAGGTTAGGATTAGAAGATATTATTCACGAAGTATGATTCAATGAGATAAGTTTAGAAAGTAAAAGCTAGAGGTGTTGAAGAATCCAGAAGATTAGGATTTGAGAGAACACAAAGAATAAATGCACTGGCGCCATTGCGAACGATTTTGAGCCATGTCATTCAAGGTCTCTAGCCATCGATTATTATCATCTCGCGGACCCCAACCAGGAAGTCGACAATTACCAACATGGCTAAGTCCACTCGTCAATGACTTCATGGATTTCTGCCATGTTTTGGTTTGGCAGGATTAATACCTAACTCTGATCCATCTAAGGATTTTGCGCAATCCCACCCATTTGTCTTAGGTAGGTACTACCTTCACTCGACAGGGATCCCGGCCCAGTATTCCAGAGGTTAAGCATTCACACGCAAGACCCGAAGCTCCCGAGTTCGAATCCTGTGAGTTGTAGGAGTTATATGGATGAACGGTGCTAATCAGTCGCAACCTAAAATAGTTCAAATTATTCTTTTTTTTCTTTTTCATTTTTTTTTCATTAAAATCTAGTCAAAACCTGTAGCTTTTTCAGTTAGAACGAATATTAGTTTTGATGGAGCATTATATGGTTTAGATGCACCATCACCAACTCGAGTTGTTAGTTTTGGTATAAAAGATTTTCTACATATAAAAAAACGTTTCAATCAAGATTGGTGGATTGGACGAGTAGTTCGAATCGGGAGTCCAATTGGTTTTATACCAAGTCCATCTAAATTGGAAGTAATTAATAATATTATTTTATCATCAATAACCACTACTAATCCTAATACAATGCCTGGTGTTGGTGGTGTTGGTGGTGGTGCTGCTGCTGCTGCGACCAATACGAATTCAACTAATGCAACTACAACGAATATGGTACATTTTGTTAATGAACTTCAAAATCCTACAACAAAACCAGGTAGATAAGATTTCAGTTTTATGTCTTTTTTTTGTTGTTGTAAATTTCTATATTAGCGTACAGACAATTAGTTATGTTATGTTATTCCTTTCTGGTTAGTGTCTTTTTGGCAAGTTGGTTTTTTTTGGTGAGATGGGGTGGCCAACCTCATACCCTTCCTCCTTTATTATCCGGGCTTGGGAGTGGCAGTAGCCCCAAAGGTTCTACTGGTGGAACAATCAATTGAATGGAATGCATCACTCTACATAAACTTCATTGACTACGAGAAAGCATTCGATAGCGTGGTGGATAGGAAAACACTGTGTAGGCTTCGTCGATACTACGGCGTGGCTGAGAAGATAGTCTACATCATACGGAACTCTTATGATGGATTAAACTGCAAAATCGTGCATGAAGGACAGCTAACAGACTCGTTCGAGGTGAAGACCGGTGTGAGGCAAGGTTGCTTACTATCACCCTTTCTCTTTCTCCTGGTCATCAATCGACTGGATTATGAAGACGTCGACATCTGAAGGGAAGCACGGTATCAAAAGGGACAGCCAGGATGCAGATGGATGATCTGGACTTCTCAGATAACCTGGCTCTTCTATCTCACACGCAACAACAAATGCAAGAGAAGACGACCAGTGTAACAGCAGCCTCAGCAGCAGTAGGTCTCAACATACATAAAGGAAAAAGCTAAATTCCCTGATGCAACACAACATGCACCAACCAAATCACTCTTGATGGAGATGCCTTGGAGGACGTTAACACCTTTACATATCTGGGCAGCATCATCGACAATCAAGGTGAATCCGATGCAGATGTGAGGGCGCGGATCGGTAAAGCTAGGGCTGCATTTTTACAATTGAGAAATATCTGCAACTCCAAACAATTTTCAACCAAAGCCAAAATCAGGATTTTCAATACAAATGTCAGAACAGTTCTATTGGATGGGGCGGAAACTTGGAAAACTACCAAAGCCATCATCCACAAGATACGAGTATTCATTAACAGTTATCTACGCAAAATACTTCGTATTCGTTGGTCAGACACCATCAACAACAACTTACTGTGGGAGAGAACAAACTAGTGGATGAGGAAATCGGGAAGAAACGGGTGAAATGGATAAGACACACACTGCGAAAGGCACCCAACTGCGTCACAAGACAGACCGTCACATGGAACCCTGAAGGTCAAAGAAAAAGAGGAAGGCCAAGGAACAAATGAAGCCGAGAAATAGAGAAAGACATGAGAAGAATGGACAAAAACTAGACAGAACTGAAAAGGGAAGCCCAGGACAGAGTTGGATGGAGAAAACTGGTGGGCGGCCTATGCTCTATTGGGGGCAACAGACGTAAGTATCTAAGTAAGTAATGTTATTCCTTCCACATTTACAATCGCAATCATCAATTAGGTATAGTACGACAATTATCGGGACCTAGAATCATTGAACAGTTTATTTGCTCTTAGTTTTTTTTCTGATGCCGGAAGCTTTATTAAGGAACAAAACTAAATCCAAAGGGTAATTGTATTATGTATTGTGTGCGTACTAATATTCTGAGCACATATGGCATATCCTAGCTTCCACACTAGCTAATTAACTTTTCCTACTCGAGTCATTATTCATTCATCTTTTGAAACTTATCGATTATCGGCTCATAACCTTGGTTGTTTCGATTCGAGTGTGTGTGTGTGTGTGTGTGTGTATTCTTAGGTTATTATTACATGTCTACTCAATTTTTGCCTAAATATTTAGTCATGTTTCATTGCGTTGATTTGGCTTTCCTTACTTTGCTTCACATCGCATTGCATTTACGCTTCCCTTGCTATTGTTTGTCTGATTCTTACACGAATGTAAGAAATAAATTCATCTAAAATAAAAATAGTACTTAGTTTTTAATTACCGTTGTCGCACAAACCGGATTCACCTAAGTATCATATACAGAAATTAAAAGTGGAGATTTATTTCATCGCATATGCGATCGTTCATCCAAAATGAAGTCGAAGTCTGGGCCACTAAAATTACTTTAAGGTTACTAAACTGGAAGTTATGTATATATATGATTTACTCGGTCCTGATATGGTTAGTATCTTACAGGTAATAGACTCCTTGTTTGGATATCTATAGAGTTAGTGGGTGTTCACTGACGGAGAGTCTCAAACCAAATGTTATAATCCCCTAGTCTGACTTAAACACAGTCTTCTCAGCCTTTTAACCCTTGTTCAAATCAATAATGCAAAGTGAAAACCCTAAGAATGCTTAGAAAGCCTTATGTGGAAGGTTGAATGACAATCTGAGTAACGCATCAGGCTATATATAATATTGGAATGACTGGCGGAAAAATTACTTACTTACGCCTGTAACTTCCAATGGATCATAGGCCGCACACCAGCATTCTCCAACCTATTCTGTCCTGGACATTCCTTACAAGTTCGATCCAATCGCTCTTCATTTTTATCATGTCTGTCTCCAAGTCTCCGCATAATGTGTTCATTGGTCTTCCTCTTTTCATATGACCTTGAGAATCGCAAGTGAAGTCTTGTCTTGCTATGCAATTGCGTGCTTTCCTCAGTGTGTAGCCAATCCACTTCCAATACTTCCTCATTATTTCTTCCTCCCTTGGAATCTGGTTCGTTCTCTCCCATAGTAGATCGTTGTTGATAGTGTCTGGCCAACGGATCTGAAGTATTTTGCATAGGCAACTGTTAATGAATACTCGTATCTTGTGGATGATGGCTTTGATAGTTTTCCAAGTTTCCTCTGCATACAATAGAACTGTTCTGACATTTGTATTGAAAGTTGTGTGTTTGGTGTTGGTTGAAAGTTGTTTTGAATTCCAGATGTTGTTCATTTGTCGAAATGCTGCCTTTGATCTGCCAGTTCGCGCCTTTTCGCGGAAAGATATGTGGAACATTACGTTGGCTAAACAAATAATGAGCTTGCATACAATAGTTTAGCCTAGCTTGAATTTTCCACCTACCATATAGCCTAGTGTCATCATGTACTTTATATGAACTTGTCTGAAATTGGCAGATCTCTTATTAGCATCTCCTGTTCAATGTCATTGGAAATGACAGTACATCACTGGTTAATTAAACAATGCTTTCGATTTCTCACTATTTCTTGTTACAATATTTTTCCTTGATAAAGAAAATAATCATCACCACAAATATCATATTCTGATAAATGATTTATGTTGATGAAATCTGCTAAGGATTTACATTTGTACCAATTGAGACATATTAATGAAACTCAACGATCTTCATAACTGTGTATTGAAAATCATAAACTGTGCTCACTAGTGACTACTAGCTTCATGATGAAATTTTCGGAGTGACCATGATAGTTCAACCCTGCTGGATGTAGGCAGTACCTTTCGGGCAATAAGTGAGGTTGTACAATACCGTCGGTTCATTAAAATTAGACATAAACACAGTTGAATGCCAGGTCGGTGGTCTAAGGGTTAAACACTGGCACGCAAGACGACAGGCCATGGTTTCGATTTCCGCTGGCGGAGGTCGTGGATGCGCACCGCTGATGAATACCATACTAGAACGAAACAGCAGTTCAGTCCTTTCAGGTTTCTAATGGTGCTATAACTACGATTCATTCACAATTTCAATGAAACTCAACAATTTCCACAACCGTATAATAAACATCAATTATAATTCTGGATATCGACAGCGGAAAATTACAAATCTTTATTATTGATTTGATTACCTATTGAACAAGCTAGTAACAGATAATGAATTGGTGTTTGTAGTTTAATGTACATGATTTGAGTGTCAATGTAAACAATACCATTAAGATGTAGGTACATCTATATCTGACCAATCCCAGTCAATACAACACGCATAGATCGTGAATTTCACTGTTATTCATGATTTACACTGACTAAAAACATATCCGACTAATTTAGCGAAAGCTGTCTAAACTCAAGTGACCCCTTGAAAAACATGAACTAATATATTGTCACACATTTTTGAAACCATGAATCGATCAATGTTAGACCACCATTAGAAACCTGGAAGCACTGGACGGCCGTTTCGTCCTGGTATGGGACTCATCAGCAGTGCGCATCCACGATACGAATCCTGCGGGGTGCTCACAATACCGAAGGTCCCGGGTTTGAATCCTGAGGGGTGCAGGAGTCGTGGATGCACACTGCTGAAGAGTCCCATTCCAGGACGAAACGGCCGTCCAGTGCTTCCAGGTTTCTAATGGTGGTCTAACAACGATTGATTGTTGATTTCAAATGTGTAAAAACGCAAATCTCCAAAGCTCTATCTGAAAATATTACATTATCCTAGGCCATAAAATGACTTAAAGATTACGACGGTAAATTCAAGCTTATAACAAATTGTTTTTCTTACACATAAGAGGTGTTTTAATTAACGAATAGCTAAGGCCTCCATTAACCTTAAAATTCGTCCTTGAACATTCCTATAGAATGTTTTAAAGGCTGTCATGATATCAATCTTATGCCCTGTCTCAATGATGTATTATGCGATCGAAGAACATGGCTTTCTATTTCCCATTGTTTATCGGTTCATCTGACGTGTTCATTGATTTTATGACCAGACTGTACGTACGTAATAATATATAGCGCGAATATATCAATCACATTGTTCTATCAAAAAGAACGAATTGGTTTTCTTAAACTATGAATCATTGGACAGCGGCGATTTCTTCTTACTATATATAATCAATATGAAGCATTTTATTGAATGAAGCAAGTAGTTTTTCATAATTTTTTATCATGTTTATTTATGCAAATTAGCTCCTGTTGGTGGATTCGGCTCTGCAGACACAACGTTAGAACGTGGAGGAAATCGTGGATTGTTATTGTCTAGCGAGTAAGTTTTCTTAAATATTTAAAAAAGGGGATACAGTACTATTGTAGTGAACGAGAACACAGGTGGGACAACGGAATTGTATTTAACAAAAATTACAGAGTTACTCAGTGAAATCGGAAAACCATATCGTAAATCGTTCATTTGCAAAATATCAGTTCATCAGTTCATCGAACTGGACTGTTCCTGTTGCAAACCACATCAATCCATTGTCACTATTCATGCATTTCATACAAATTCCATTGTGTTCCCACTATTCCTTTCTTGATCTTTCCCCATCTTCTACTGCCAGACATTACGTTGACACTCACGTCATATACTACTTATAAGTAGCTCGCACCACACTATTATCCTGATTCAGTGATCTGACATCAGAAAAATGATTGGTTCTGACAGAATTCCTGTCTTTGAACCTTAATCAGAACATGTTAATTTCGTCACTAATATGAGCTAATATGAGTTCACTAGCATCCAGGTAGGCTACCTTGGATCACAAACTGCAAACCAGAATTCTTGATAAGCGTAGAAAGTATATTCTACAAACACCCAGCAATCACACAATGCAATCAAGCACACACAGATCTCGTTTATTTATACATCATAGAAACGTCCTTGGGACAGTTAAGAAAACAGCACACTAAAACACAGAGCAGCCAATCACAGAGAAGGATTTTGCTGGTGGGAAATGAAATCTCAAGGTCAACTGATCAGCCCATGCTGGCAAACGTGAAATCCAAGAGAAGGTATTTATCAAACGAATTCTGGGGATCTAACATCCCCAATAGAACATGAGAAAAAGAGTCGAATGTAACTTTTTGTTTTTTTACCTGAAGATTCATTTATAAAAAATACTCACATGATTGTGTACATAAATTGCATGATCATGACGACTTAAAACTTAGAATAAATCATAACTAAGAAGTTTTCAGTTTAATTTTATTATCATCATTTGCTCACTAATGATTAGCTTCGTGAAGAAAGTCTGGGTGTGAAGCAGTTACCCACGAAATATATCGCTATTAGTTGAATAAATCTATACATGAACATCGTTGGATGCCAGCTTAGTGGTCAGTCAATAGGGTTGTGTTTGCGATCAAGATCGGAAATTATCGTTTCGATATTCGCTTACAAGGTTGTGGATACGCACTACTGATGAGTCTAATATTAGAATGAAATGGCCATCCAATAATGGCGGTTAACTTGAGATTTCTATAAAACAGAAGTACAATTTACTAATATTCAGAAAAACAGAAATACAACTCATAACAGTAATCTGGTCCTAAAGTTTATTATACTCACTTCTTCCACTCATTTTAACAGAATCTTAGTTAACAATTCCTTGTATGTATGTAAATCTAATTATCTTAACATTTTGTAAACTTGTATGTAAAATATTTAAGGTTATCATATTTTCAGTTTTCAGTCTTTAATGTCATGTGAAATGATTACTAACACAAAATGCTACAATATTAAAGAGTACACATTGTGACCGCAATCGATTTCATGACAATTTCATGTTTTTTTTCTTCTGACTAAATAACTTATTAATATAATTATATTTCAAAACAGTGGTTCCCTTTGATAAATTTGAACAGAGAAATGAGAAGACATATTTTGTGAGATAGTACCATTTCGTGCTTTCACATGTAACTCCAGAGAAAGTTACTTAGGGAGGACAGATCGCCGATTGGAAGACAGGATAGGGGAACATATTCCAAGATGGTTAATCAAATCCATGATTCATCAACCTAGCCCGTCATCTGAAAATCGATGAAGAAACCCAGCCTCGTCCATTGCAAAACATCTAATAATGAGTGGTCATCAAATTGACGCAAAATCAGCCGTTAGAGTTATGACATGTCATCAAAACCCTACACACTCGAACTACTCGAAGCTATCTTGATTGGTCGGAAAAGTCCAACTTTATGTGTTCAAAAACAACTGTATGTTGGTTGACCTTCGTTTACCATGTTTCTAGTGAGTGAATGTTATGCTAAATAAGAAATTTCGACCTTATCTTCAAAACTGTATTTACACAAATAACATGTTGCTTGTATGTGACTGACGAGAAAGCACGAAATGGTACTATCTCACAAATTATGTCTTCTCATTTCTCTGTTCATAATTATATTTCATTATTAGCAGTGATGGGTAGTGGCTAACAGTGGTATTCAGGAAGCGCATTTCATCTTGTCTAAGACTTGTTTTTGCTTCGATATATACCTACATCTTACAGGTGATGTTCAATCAGAAACTCGAACCCAATACCTTAACAGTTAATATGTTCTTGCATTATTCACTTACCTACTAAATCTACTATCCACCGCTGATAGTAATCCTTGTAACCTAATCACACTATCGAGGCAATCCACTGAGGATGTGCTTGAATTATTACGAGTTTACTTTAGTCGGAAAACGAGAGCGAGGATCAAGGATCCAGCGACACGACACGCTACTCTAATCCGAGTGTCCCAAACCCCCATTGAATGAAAGAAGAAGACTTGATATAAAGTAGAAAATGTATTCCTACAAGCATCCAGAAAGTACGAGGTCCGAGTCCAGAAGAAGATATGGATCCCGGACTAGGGATCCGCGTCCGGATCATAAAACGTTACATATAATGCCTAATTATACATTTAGGTCGAATAGGAAACAACATTTGAAAAGACATTGATAGTTAGGACGACCCATAAGAAGTACCTGACATTGATAGCTAGGACGACCATAATATTGACCAATACGACTTGACCAATATAAATTACACTTACGAAATGATTCTTTGTACGATATCCGCTGAACATCCGAACAGGATGTACATAGAACAAAATGAGATTGATCAGTTGCAGTTCTAAAGATCACTGCAAATATTCAAACAACCAATGCAAATGAAGTGATTATATTTCAGTTTAGTAGATGGGATTTTGTGTACAACTTGTATTTGTCGCAGTTTAAATTAAATCGAGTTACCATTGAAAACATAGAACCATGAAAACAGCTGTCTTATTTTAAAATATAGGATTCCTCAACAATGTACACCCATCAACCAATCACAGATTAAATCTAAAATCTTCCAAAAACCGTTGGTTAGCTTATTGTCTTACACTTAACATAGTTGAACTACAGCTTCTCACAGAAATTCTTAGAATTCTATTGATTAGAGATCATTTTTAATTCAATTATATTTTATTATAAAATGTTTGAATATATTCATCCAATATCCTAAGAGAATTATTGGCCGTTTCCTATTGGTTAATTTCTACTGGTCAATTTTCTGATCGTCCTAGATACCAATGTCACGTACTCCAATGTTGTTTCTTATTGGTCGTCTCAACTGTTAATGTCACAGACTTCGATACTGTTTCCTATTCAACCTGAATGAATAAATACGCATTATCTGTAACAATCTATGACCCCGACCCGGGTCTTGAGTCCGGTATCCTTGCCTTTCTTCTGGACTCGGACCTCGTACTTTCTGGATGCTTGTAGGAAGCAGGTTCTACTTCATATCAGGTCGTCTTCTTTTACTCAATATGGGGATCGGGACACTGGGACTAGAGTAGCTTGTCGTGTCATCGGTTCATCAATCCTAACTCTTGTTTTCCGACTAAGGTAGACTCGTAATAGTTCAATCATATCAAATTGACATGTTTTCGTTGCATGAGTAACATAAAATATGAATAATTATCTATTATTTTCGTTTTTTAATATTTACTAGTGTAGATCATCGTGGACCAACTTTAACTGCTAATCGTCAAAGACAATCAGAATCACCTCCAATTCATAAAAACTGGAAAGGTAAACACTGATAACAGTACTAGATAAAATAGTATTTATGTGCTTGTATAAAAAATATTAACTTACAACTCTTTCTTAGCTTACTTGCATATCAGTAAGTGAGGATAGCTAATTAGACAGTGCAATCACTAATAATCAGTTACTTACTTACTTATGCACTTGCTTACTTATGTACTTAATTACTCACTTACTTACTTACTTACTTACTTACTTACTTAATTAATTAATTAATTACTTATGCACTTACTTATGCACTTACTTACTTACTTAATTACTTACTTACTTACTTATGCACTTACTTACTTACTTACTTACTTACTTACTTACTTACTTACTTACTTACTTACTTACTTACTTACTTACTTACTCACTTACTTAATTGCTTACTTACTCACTTACTTACTTACTTATGCACTTACTCACTTACTTACTTACTTACTTATGCACTTACTCACTTACTTACTTACTTACTTATGCACTTACTTATCTACGCCTGTTACCCATCATTCGACATAGACCGTGGCCAGCGTTTACAGGGATAAATACATATTTCAAACAATAAAATTAGGATTAAATTGTAATCCTAATGGATGTTAGAAGATATTTGAGCGATGAAACTATCCTCAATTTGTTTGATGATATATACTTGAATAGGTGATAAAGATTTATGATCTGTAGCTTTTTATCATATACAGCAGTTAATTTCTGATAAGACCTTATCAGCAACACCAACCAGCAACAAACCAGATTTCAAACAGAGGAGCGAATCAAGAAGAAGCGTTGTAGGAAACACATTGAGAAAATCAGCCGACTACATCACACAAGACAAACCCTAACTTGTGATCTTTAAGGCCAAAGGAAAAGAGGAAGACTAAAGAACACATGATGCTGAGAATCGGAGACAGATATGAAAAGAATGAATATCAGTTGAGTAGAATTGTAAAAGAAGGCTCAATTTAGAAAATGCTGGTCGGCGTCCTGTGCTGAATGAGGGGTAACAGGCGTAACGAAGTAACATCATTTCCAGACTGAATAGTAGGTGGAAAATATCAATAACCCTAGATTCAGTTTAATTATTCGAGGCATAGAGATATACGCTAGTGGACTGGCCCAGAGAACAAAACACCACCAGTTAAAATCTAGTTCTTACAATTCTATCTTGCAAAACAACTAACCAGTAAGACAGAGATTATACTTGTGCCATACTGAATTCTAATTGTACTATAATCCGTTTACGGATGTTAGTAAAATAAATAATCATTTCAAATGAAGATAAATATCGGCAGTGAATGGTATACATATGTAGATTGAGAGCTATTCAACGCCCTATTGAACATCGTTATGTACCACGGGCTTACTTGAATCAACTTAGACAACCATTTGTCAATAAACTGATGTCAAGAGCTAACACAGCAGTTTCTTTTTTGCAAAGATACTAAATTAGGTCCAAGTCTTTAATGTTTTAGCAAAACAATAATTTATATTTCCACATTATCGATTTGTTATTCATTCAGAATTGTGAAATATGATTGGACAGTTTGTAGTGAGCGTGAACACCGGTGGGGCAACCGGATTATTTTTAACGAAAATTACAGAGTTACTCAGTAAAATCGGAAAACCATATCGTAAATCGTTCATTTGCAAAATATCAGTTCATCAGTTCATCGAACTGGACTGTTCCTGTTGCAAACCACATCAATCCATTGTCACTATTCATGCGTTTCATACAAATTCCATTGTGTTCTAACTCTTACTTTCTTGATCTTCCCTCATCTTCTGCTGCCAGACATTACGTTTACACTCACGTCATATACTACTTATAAGTAGCTCGCACCATAAGTTGAGCGTATCCAATTATTTTGATAATTATTTACACTTCATACATAATTAGTTCTTACAGCAGCATAAACTACGTTGTCTGTGATAAGAAAGTGATCATAGATTATGAGAAGGCATATATCATTAAGAAGTTCTGCGATAATTTCACCAACACTTTTTTTATTAAAACTGATCATAAACTACTCATTTATGTGATTTCAGTAGTATACACATGTAGCTATCAGTTTACATGATTTATTGAAAATCATATTATTATTTAGATGGAGATGGATATGATGAAGAGGATTTACGTGATACACCACAAACTGTAGAAGTACCAGGACAAGCAAATGTCAAAAAAGCACAACCTATTGGTCCAGGAGTTAAAAAGAGACCATTTTCTAAAAAGGTAACATAATGCCATGTGTTTTTTTTTAAATCATAAACTTATTTTTTGTATGAGTAATTTTCCCTATTAAAATAAAGATTATATCTGAATTAACAACAATGGGCTATTTAAAATACAGATATATGAATGAACAGTATTCTTTTCGGGTTCTACAGTTCTACTTTCAAACTAATAATCCCAAAAATTAAGTGGTTAGGTTTAAGGCAAAATATATCGTTTAAAATTATATTACCATAGATTGTATGATTATATAAATCGTCAATTTTTTCTTAGATGACTTATATAAAGTATTCACTTGAGTAAGTTTATAGGTGTAAAGTGAAACTCTGGCAGTAAAATTCACAATAATCATTGGTTAACATGGCATGAAAGAGTGTGTTGCGCAGAAAAATATGAATGAGGTACGAATTAGTGATATGTCAGTGATCTAGAGGTTAAGCATTCAAAGGTTCTGGGTTCGATTTCAGCGAATGGGGATTGTAGGTGTACACTGCTGATGAGTCCGATACTAGGTAGGACAAAATGACCGTCTTCCAGTTTCCTAATGGTGATCTAACAATCATTGATTTATGATTTCTATGAAATTCAACAATCTTGAAAACTCTCTAAGAAAAACTATAAAACTATCATCAAAATGATTTTTTAATTAGTTAGGTCGCAAGTTGGCCAAATTATCAAGAAAGTGTTTGAATGTATTTTTTCCAAATGTAAAGCTCAACCAGTCTGAAGGATTCCTAATCTAACTGATATAGGTAGATTTTTGTCAATACGATGTATGGTATTGAAAATGATTGCTCGATATTGACTGTATGATGCATCTGTACTGCATAAGTTGTCAACAAACTTGAATATATCTTTGGGTGTAAATACAAACTGCTAGAATATGTGCCAATGTAATTTGCTTCACAGGATATTCCGTTTTTTGTTAATAGTTTATGCATTCGGTCATAAACAATGAAGAATTTGGAGTTGATCCAAGTTATCATACCTTTACAGGATAGCTAAGTAAATTATCTAAGCAAAAATCAAAGTAGTAAAACTGATTGCAGTGCAGGTGATAGTAGAAGATGATAGACAGACAGATAGACAGATTCAACGTAGAATTTCGTGCATACGTACATCAGATCAGGTTACCATGCTAAACATTAGCACAGAGACGTAACTGTCAGTTCAAATCCAAGAGTGATGGCGATAGTAGAAGTATTAACAGTAATGGAGAAGATTAGGATTCAAAGATATGATTCGAGAAGTATAGATCAGTGAGATACATTTAAAAAGCGAAAGATAGAGATGATGAGGAATCCAGAAGATTAGAATTTGAGAGAACACAAAGAGTGGATGCACTTGCGCCACTGAACCATGTCGTTCCACTTAGAAGATGATACACATGAATAATAATATTCGAGAAGGAGCAATGAATTCTACAACAAAATTATGAAGCAACTTTCAAATAAATCTATCCATCTGCCATGAATTCTAAATTATGTCACCTATCGTCCGCAACATCAACTTCATAGATTACGAGAAAGCTTCTTCGACACTATGGTGTGCCTGATAAGATAGTCAATATCATAAGGAATTCTCACGATGGACTAAACTGCAAAATCGTGCACGGAGGACAGCTAACAGACTCTTTCGAGGTGAAGACCGGTGTGAGGCAAGGTTGCTTACTCTCACCCTTTCTCTTTCTCCTGGTCATCGACTGGATTATGAACACGTCAACATCTGAAGCGAAGCACGGTATTCAGTGGACAGTTAGGACGCAGCTGGACGATCTGAACTTCGCAGATGACTTGGCTCTTCTATCGCACACTCAACAACGAATGCAAGAGAAGACGACCAGTGTAGCAGCAGCCTCAGCAGCAGCAGTAGGTCTCAACATACATAAAGGAAAAAGCGAAATTCTCCGATGCAACACAACATGCACCAACCAAATCACTCATTCTTGATGCAGATGCCTTGGAGGATGTTAACACCTTTACATATCTGGGCAGCATCATCGACAATCAACGTGGATCCGATGCAGATGTGAGGGCACGGATTGGTAAAGTAAGTGCTGCATTTCTACAGTTGAAAAATATCTGGAACTCCAAACAACTTTCAAACAAAACCAAAATCAGGATTTTCAATACAAATGTCAAGACAGTTCTACTGTATGGAGCGGAAACATGGAGAACTACCAAAGCCATCATTCAGAAGATACAAGTGTTTATTAACAGCTGTCTACGCAAAATACTTCGTATTCGTTGGCCAGACACCATCAGCAACAACGAACTGTGGGAGAGAACAAGTCAGATTCCAGTGGAGGAGGAAATCAGGAAGAAGCGGTGGAAGTGGATAGGACACACATTGCGGAAAGCACCTAACTGCGTCACGAGACAAGCCCTCACATGGAACCCTCAAGGCAGAAGGAAAAGAGGAAGGCCAAGGAACACATTACGCCGAGAAATAGAGAAAGATATGAGAGGAATGAACAAACATTGGACAGAACTGGAGAGGGAAGCCCCGGACAGAGTTTGTTGGAGAAGACTGGTGTGCGCCCTATGCTCGATTGGGGGTAAGAGGCGTAAGTAAGTAAGTAAACAATCGTCCGCAACTATTGATCACAGTTATCCTGTGAATTTGAAAGAAATAATCTGCTGTACCATCCATCATGTCTCAGATAGGTAGGTAGTCAACGAATTCACGAACTGATATTCTGTTTTAGTTTGGCTGTTTCTAGCTTGTTCCAACCTACACCTAAACATGTGTAAAATCTGTCTCAAATATGTAAGTCAATGAAATCTCACAACTTCAGTAAATTATATGATATCTTTACCTAGTACGATGTATCTAATCTGAACGTTGATCACTTGAATAACTTAGTATACGTAAAAGTCACTATAAGTTACATTTGTTATCAATTACAAACATTTATGGCTGTTTTTCAGATGTCATTATATTCATCTGTAGATATTAAGATATTTTTAAAGAGAGATTTAGTTACATACTAAGAATTGGATGAATTAACAGCTAAATAACCCAAAACGAATTGTGAATAACCGATCGATATCAGCGCCCTGAGTTTGCTATATGAAAAGCCACAGACTAGTAGGTAATTACAACAAATTTAATCTGAGTTATTCAGCACTAATCTGAACGAAACCTTGGAATTAATTATTTAGATTTTAAATCACTAAGGTTATATTTCAAATATTAATTTTTACAAATAATTTAGATTATATAATCGGCGCCGAATTTCTGTCAAATGATTTTTTAAATCTTGACAAATATCTGTATAGGTTAACGTGAGTTAGCCCAGAATAAAACAAATCAAACTACCGACTGACTGCCTGGAATAGCTATGTTTTGTGGTGTGGGAGTAGGTTGGAATAAATCTAGGGACGGTGACATCAAACCATGGCAGAGATCCATGAAATCAATATGGACTGAGTCATGTTGATAGATGCAGGCTACCTGATTGAGGTCCGCGAGACGAAAGTCAGCGATGATTGGAGACCTTGAATGACATGGTTCAAAATAGTTTGCAATGGCGCAAGTGCATCCACTCTTAGTGTTTGTTCTCTCAAATTCTAACCTTCTAAATTCCTCATCGTCTCTATCCTTTTCTTTCTGCATTCGTCTCGCTTAATTATACTTCACAAATCATATCCTCGAACCCTAATCTTCTTCATTACTGTTAATACTTCTCTAACACTATTAGATTTGAGCTAATAGTTGCGTTTTTGTGCTAATGCGGTATGGCAACCTGAATTGATGTACGTATGTACGAAATTCTATGCTGTAACTAACTAACTAACTAACTAACTGACTGACCATAAATGACGCTAACTTACTTACCTACTTACTTACTTTCTTACGGCATAGGCCGCCAATCATTGTTCATTCTTTTCATGTCTGTCTCCATTCCTCGGCGTAATGTGTTGTTCCATGGTCTTCCTCTTTTCCGTTAACCATGAGGGTTCCAGGTGGAATTTCATAACCAACAGTTTTGTATTATTTTCAATGTACAATATGAGTTGTAATTTAGTATCAAAGAATTTTTCATGTTTGTGATTTCTTCACATTCATATATGTACGTCTATTTACAATATTAACAGAATGAATTTATACCTCCATATGAAATTGTTCCATGTATGCGTCCAGTTGTATTTGTTGGTCCAGCTTTGAAAGGTTATGAAGTGACAGATATGATGCAGAAAGCAATATTTGATTCAATGAAAAAACATTTTGATGGAAGGTATGTTTTGTGTAGTGTATGCTTAATTGTGAATACATAGTACACGTGCTGTTGACATCTACTTTTTAACATGAAATGAGTACTCATTAGTGAATGATGAAGCATTTAAAACTAGAGTGTACTTGACACTTGACTGATTTTGGATTGGAACCCTTGAATATTGAACATATATACATATATATATAACTCTCGATTCTCATCAGTGCCGATGGCCTGGTGACTGACGAAATCTCAGCACGGATACAGAAGGCTAGATTGGCTTTTGCCAAACTGCGTCACTTATGGCGTAGGAGAGATATCCGTTTGCTGACTAAAGGACGAGTGTACTGCGCAGTGGTTCGCTCCCTCTTACTTTATGGCTGTGAGACATGGCCAGTGAGAGTAGAAGATATTCATAGATTACTGGTTTTCGATCATAGGTGTCTTCGAAGCATTGCTCGTATATCGTGGGACACCCGAGTGAGCAACGCTGTTATTAGGAATCGGGTGCTAGGTAAGAATGGCAGATCAATAGATGAAGTAATGAAACTTGATCAGTTGAGGTGGTTGGGACATGTGCTGCGTATGGCTAACCACCGACTGCCTCGACGAGCTTTGTTTTGTAGTGTAGGAGTAGGTTGGAAGAAAGTTAGGGGCGGCCAAACCAAAACATGGCACAAATCCATGAAGTCATTGACGAGTGGACTTAGCCATGTCGGTAATTGTCGACTACCTGGTTGGCGTCTGCGAGACGATAATAATCGATGGTTGGAGACCTTGAATGACATGGCTCAGAATCGTTTGCAATGGCGCCGGTGCATTTATTCTTTGTGTTCTCTCAAACCCTAATCTTTTGAATTCTTCAACTTTGTAAACTTTTCGCACTGATACATACTTCTTGAATAATATCTTCTAATCCTAACCTCTCCGATTACTTCTAATACCTTTACTACCTCTTCTACTATTGGATTTGAATTGACAATTACATCTCTGTGGTGATGTGGTATGGCGACATGAACTGATGTACTTACGTACGAAGTTCTACGTTGCATCTGACTGACTGATATAGCTCTCGATGAAATCAAGTATTTTTTTGGTAATTAAAATACGTCTACACTGCCCAAAACGGAATCCAGCTGTTCACATTTTCAACTTCAATCAATTCATGACATTCCACACTATTATTCAGTCGAATCAATGAAGTTTACCTCATCATTAGCAGGGTGAAAATTCCTGGTTCATTGATTTCCAGATGAATTTTTTTGCGCGCATACTGAAGCTAGTCATCTGACCTAAATCAATTCACAAACGTTATCCACTGCATGAGTAATTGCCTCACTTCCCAAAGACAATTAAACTCCATTTTAATTGGAGTATATGAAGAAGATGGTCTTGATTGCAGTTATAGCTAATGCCACTTGTGACTTCTTTTTAAGGAACTTTAAAAAGAAAATGGGTTAAAAGTGATGTGGTAACTAAGAAACATGAAAACTAAATCCAATGAACAACTGTTTGAGACTAGTCACTCATAGCTTCTTAATGAAGATTTCTTTATATATCAGCTCAGTCTTTCTCAGGGCGTTAATAGAGGAAATATTTGGATCGAGGCGGAATGTACCGGTTTTTTGAACCGAAACTTCACTACAATAATTTTTTTAAGTAATCGATTCATTTAGATTTAAATTCTAATAAATGACTATGAAAATTCGACATAAATAGATAATTGCATAATGGGGTTATGAAGATTGTTAAGTTACACATCTGAAATCATGCACTGATCAAAGTTAGACCACCATTAGAAACCTGGAAGCACTGGATGGCCGTTCCATCCTGGTATGGGACTGATTGACAGTTCGCATCCACTACTCCTGCACCTCGTAGGATTCAAACGCAGGATCGAAGGTCCTGTGCGCGAACGCCTAACCTCTGTACCACTGAGCCAATATCTGACGGTGTTAATGTCTAACTTCGATCAATTCACGGAGTTGTGCAACCTCGTACACAGTCTTCGGTAGTTACTGTCTACACTCGAACAGGTTGAATTTCACGACTTCCCACTAGAACTCGGAGAAGATTCATCACGAAGCTAGTCACTAGTGAGTACAGGTAATTATTTACATTACGGTGTTGTGAAGATTGTGAAGTTAGGTGTTTCGGTCCAGTGGTTAGGCGTTTGCGTGCATAAAACCGAAGGTCCTGGGTTCTAACCCTGCGAGGTGCAGGAATCTTGGATGCGCAATGCCACTAATGAGTCCCATACCAGGACGAAACAGCCATACTTCAGTGCTTCCAGGTTTCTAATGGTGGTCCAACTCTGATCGATGCATGATTTCATATAAATCGATTCTATTGAGTAAATTATCAAAAGAAAATGTATATATATTATTTTTCTTCTTCTTTCCTTGTTGATGATAGAATTATTGTTAGTCGTGTCAGTACTAATATATCATTGGCTAAACGTGTCGGTGAATTATTACATTTGGATAAAAAGAATATTCTGGAAAAAGGACGTAGTCGACAACTTGTTTCTTTGAGTAATTCTCTATTTGTTTTTCCTAGTTGTTTCTTTTTTTTCATGTTAAAAATTTTATTTTTTGTTATGATTATGAGTAGTGGGGAAAAGTGGGTGTGGTGTGAGCTACTTATAAGTAGTAGTATATGACGTGAGTGTCAACGTAATGTCTGGCAGCAGAAGATGGGGGGGAAGATCAAGAAAGGAGGAAGAGCTAGAACACAATGAAATTTGTATGAAGCGAACGTATGAATAGTGACAATGGATTGATGTGGTTTGCAACAGGAACAGTCCAGTTCGATATGATGATGAACTGATATTTTGCAAATGAACGATTTACGATATGGTTTTCCTATTTTACTGAGTAACTCTGTAATTTTCGTTAAACTAATATTCGGTTGCCCCACCTGTGTTCTCGTTCACTACACGGGGACTGTTGAAATGGTTACTAGCACTTAACAGATGCTCTTGAGAAACCAATGAGATCCCAGCTAATCACAGCTTGTGATATTAGTTTCTCGAATGTCGATGTGGTGGCATGCGGTGATTTAATGATGATGATGATGATGACGTAACATCTCTATTTGAGGACTGAGATGGTTGTAGTGATGGTTTCACTCTCTATGAGAAACTATAAATACTTAGCATTTGTCTGTAAATTTTAACAGTTTTATCTTGTTCCAGCTTTTGATTTGTAGCCTAGAGGAGAGCGGTCCAACTGATTCTAATGCCAAAAGTTGTATTCTATAGTAGCCGTGTCTAGTAGAAGACTTACCAAGTGTTTTGATTTCATTATAGGGTTGTGGAGCTTGGTTAGTTTGCGTGAACGACTACGTAAACTAAACTCATCCAACTCCGTTTGTATTTGACTCTTATTACAGCCGTCGTACAAATGGAAGCCGCACAAGAGTGACATACGGGAAGATTTATTTCATAGCAGAATATTCAGTCGTTCGTTTAAATTGAAGTCAGATCCACGGCCAATAAACTGAATACTATATGTCTAGTTGGAATCAATTAAAATGAGACAGAAACACCGGTTTAAAAGTCTAAAACAATATTCAGACCATAATGCTACAGTTTTTTTCTTTAATCATAAGTTATACAAAGATGATTTTTTCGTGTGCTGTTTTGTTCCTAGGCAGGGATGGAAAATTAATAGATAAGTATTGAAACTCATCAGTTGAGGTGGTTGGGGACAGGTGTTAAGTATGGCTAACCACCGACTGCCTCGACCAGCTTTGTTTTGTAGTGTGGGAATAGGTTGAAAGAAAGCTAGGAGGGCGGCCAAACCAAAACATGGCAGAAATCCATGAAGTGACTTACTAGTGAACTGAGTGATGTTGGTAGATGTAGACTACCTGGTTGGGGTCCACGAGATGATAATAATCGATGGTTAGAGACCTTGAGTGACATGGCTCAAAATCATTTGCAATGGCGGATGTGCATCCATTCTTTGAGCTCTCTCAAATCCTAATCTTCTGGATTTTGTCAGCACCTCTACTCTTGTCTTTCTAAGCTTATCTCACTGGAATTATAGTTCTTGAATAATATCTTCAAACCCTAGTCTTCTTCATTACCATTAATACCTCTACTATCTTTATCATTATGGGGATTTGATTTGACATTTGCTTCTCTGTGCTAATATGACATGGCAACCTGCAACTGATTTACGTACGTAGGAAGTTCTACGTTGTAACTGACTGATTGACTGATTGACACAACTGAATTAACCTTCGCAAACTAATGAAGTGCAACCCAACAGTTCAAATGAATAACTTTAACTTTCATTAATAACTTTGAGACATTACTTACTTACTTACTTACTTACTTACTTACTTACTTACTTACGCCTGTTACCCCCAATGGAGCATAGGCCGCCCACCAGTTTTCTCCAACCCTACTCTGTCCTAGGCTTCCCTCTCCAGTTCTGTCCAATGTTTGTTCATTCCCCTCATATCTTTCTCTATTTCTCCGCGTAGTATGTTCCTTGGCCTTCCTCTTTTCCTTTTGCCTTGAGGGTTCCATGTGAGGGCTTGTCTCGTGATGAGGTTAGGTGCTTTTCGTAGTGTGTGTCCTATGCACTTCCACCGCTTCTTCCTCATTTCCTCGTCAAACACTGGAATCTGGTTTGTTCTCTCCCACAGTTCGTTGTTGCTGATGGTGTCTGGCCAACGAATACGAAGTATTTTGCGTAGTCAGCTGTTAATAAACACTTGTATCTTATGGATGATGGCTTTCGTATGTTACCAAAAAAACCAATAGAACTGTCTTGACATTTGTATTGAAAATGCTGATTTTGGTTTTGGTTGAAAGTTGTTTGGAGTTGCAGATATTTTTCAACTGTAGAAATGCAGCCCTTGCCTTGCCATACGCACCCTCAAATCTGCATCGGATCCACCCTTCTCGTCGATGATGCTGCCCAGATATGTAAAGTTGTTAACGTCCTCGAAAGCATCTCCATCAAGAGTGATTTGGTTGGTGCATGTTGTGTTGCATCGGAGAATTTTGCCTTTTCCTTTATGTATGTTGAGACCTACTGCTGCAGAGGCTGCTGCTACACTGGTCGTCTTCTCTTGCATTTGTTGTTGAGTGTGCGATAGAAGAGCCAAGTCATCTGCGAAGTCCAGATCGTCCAGCTGCGTCCTAACTGTCCAGTTGATACCGTGCTTCCCTCCAAATGTTGACGTTTTCATAATCCAGTCGATGAACAGGAGAAAGAGAAAGGGTGAGAGTAAGCAACCTTGCCTCACACCGGTCTTCACCTCAAAAGAGTCGGTTAGCTGACCTCCGTGCACGAGTTTGCAGTTGAATCCATCATAAGAATTCCGTATGATGTTGACTATTTTCTCAGGCACACCATAGTGTCGAAGAAGCCTCCACAGTGTTTTCCTATCCACCACGCTATCGAATGCTTTCTCGTGGTCGATGAAGTTGATGTAGAGTGGTGAGTTCCATTCAATTGATTGTTCCACAATGATCCGTAATGTAGCTTTGAGACATTATTTTCAACTTAATAATACTTGTTTATATATATATATATATATATATATATATATATATATATAACGAAAACATTACATTGAACAGTCTATTTGCACACCATCTTTGAGTTGTGACTTCCAACGCTCCATCCTTCTTCCATTCCTATTGTTGCTTCCTTCCTTCCTTTCCTGTTGGTACTCCATTCATTTCTTGCTTGCGCTCCATTTGCTTTCCGTTTTCCTCTTCTGACCGTGAGACTTCTTCTTCTTTCACGTCCCTTCTTATACTACTTATATCGTTCGTGTAAGTAGCACACACCATATATATATATATATATATATATATATATACTACTATCTATTGATTACATTGTATTTTTATTCTTTTCATTTTCCATTGATTTCTTTTTTTTCCAAAACAGTTGAAGTACAACAAGATTTAGAAAGAATATTTCATTTAGGCAGTAAAATGCAATTACTTTTATTAGATTGTGATACAATTAATCATCCTAATCAAATAACTAAAACATGTTTAGCACCAATTGTAATCTATGTAAAAATTGCTAGTCTACGTGTACTGAATCGTTTAATTAAAAATCGTGGTAAATTACAAAAAAAAAATGCTGGTGTACAAACAGCAGCTGCTGAAAAATTATTACAATGTTCACCAGTAAGTTTTATTATATATCAACTTGTTTATTTTTTAAGATTTTGATCAATTAAGCAAGTCACTGTTTGTCAACTAAAGAGCAGTAGACAATGGTGGTGTCCTCAGTGGAAGATGCTTTAGTACTACTACTTACTGCGCATCCATGACTCCTCTAACAGGAAGTGAACTTATCTATGACTTTGAGGTCTTTCAGTGTTGGGTATGGTAGATCCCCAAAATTCGCTTGATAAATATGCCTTATTTTGGTTTTCACGTTTGCCAGCATGGGCTGATCCGTTGACCTTGAGATTTCAATTCCCACCAGGGAAATCCGTGGCTATGATTGGCTGCTGTGTATTTCGAGTGTACTATTTTCTTAACTGTCTCAAGGATGTTTCTATGTTGTATAAATAAACGAGAGTTGTATGCTTGATTGTACTGTGTGATTGCTGGGTGTTTGTAGAATATACTTTCTACGCTTACAAAGTCTTTTAACATGCTTTGCGGATTCAAGGTAGCCTACCTGGACGCTGGTAAAAGTCTCGTTCGCGTTTATCGACTAAGGTAAACTCGTAATAGCCTCAAGCATACTTAGTGACGAACTTATCATTCAGTGAACGTTTATTGATTAGACGTGTTTTGTTTTGAAATGTTCGTACAAATGAGAGAAGTCTGTTAAGAATGTAGCCTACAAGTTGGGTTTCAGTCAGTCAATCAGTTAGCTACAACGTGGAACATCGTAGGCACCTAAATCAGTTCAAGTTGCCACACACCGTGAAGTAGAAGTAAAGACAGTATTCAGAAAGATTAGAGTTTGAAGATATTATTCAAGAAGTGAAATTCAGTGAAATAAATTTTTAGAAGTGAAAGATGAAGGTGATGCGGAATTCATATGATTAACATATGAGAAAACACAAAGAGAGGATGCACCTGTGTCATTACTTGAACCGATTTTAAGCAATCTTATTCAAAGTCTCTAACTATCGGGTTAAGATTGTCTCACAGGCCCCCGACCTGGTAGTCTGTACTTAAGACCATGGTCTTATTCACTTGTCAGTTACTTCATGGATTTGTGACAAGTTTTGATTTGACCGTCCCTAGCTTTCTTCAATGAGTTAGATTTCAACAGGATAGGATCGCTAACTCCATGTCCAACTTTCCTCCTTTACCCGGACTTGGGGCCGGCAGCATGCCTAGATGGTCGTCTTTAGGTGAAGTTATGTCAGATAACAGCTGTTAAAAGTTGTGAATATTTACATATATGTGGAAATAGTTAAACACGAAGTGCTTTCTACAACTGAATGATAACATTTAAGCTGTTCCAATGGAGGTTCATGCTTCAAAGTGATTACATTAGTAAGTTACACTAATGGATTAAGGAATAACTGTTCAATTTTCCAATCCTCCTGCATAATCTAAGTTCATGTTGAACATTGACATGAATTCACATATTTTCAATGTCCAGTTTTTGCTCATTATCGTTCGTTCAGACTACATTGGTTGAATTTCTTTGGTATTGATTTTTTCGTTGTTGAAATTTTATTTTATTCATATGCAGATTGTTGGTTTTCAGTTGAAATCCATGAATTGAAGCACTAGACACCAATTTCATCCTTCTTATATGAGACCCATCAGCAGTGTGCATTCACAACCTCTGCGCCACACAATCGAACACAGTATATTTGGTCTCGCATGTGAATGCTTAATTTCCAGACCACTACTGACCCAGTATAATGAATATCACAAAATTCGCTCATCAGAGTGACTAGCTTCGTGAGGACATTCTCCTAGTTCTAGTGAGAAGATGTGACTAATGGAATTCACCCGTGTCGAGTGTAAGCAGTAAGTAACCCACCGAAAACAATAGGTGAGGTTACGCAATACCTTAGATTGATCGAAGTTAGATATGAACAGATTTGGGTGCCTGCTAGCTCACCGGTCTAAAGGTTCAGCATTCACTCGCAAGC